TTTTAAAAAAAAAAAAAAAAAAAAAAAAGAAGGCGGCTCTTGACAGATTATATTCAGCAGTGGGAGTCCACAGTTATGAGGAAAGTAACAGGTAAGAAATGTTCATTTCTATTTTCTTAACTGAATTTAGTTTGGAATTTAGCTTGACATATGGCACTAATGTGTTAAGTATTACACAGGTTAGAAATTAATGCTGACTTGGTCCAGCTTAATGGAAGAACGGACGGATAAAATTGTTAACCTCAGAGTCCTACTCTAGAAAATAGTAGTCACCTTCAAAAGGGGAGAACTGTGATTTTTGGGGACTACTTTGTTGTTGGTGGGGTTTTTTGTTTTGATTTTTTAGGGAAGATTTCAAAAGAGGTGTCTTGCTCCAGTTTTCAAGACAAATTTTACTTCAGAGCTTCTCCCTGAGAAGCACCTCTTTGGGTGTGAGCCAGGCCACAGAGAATATGTTAACTGTAATTATTCTCTCAGCTGTAATTGAAACTGTGGTGGTGAATAATGGGTTACTTTTTTTTTTTTTTTTTTTTTCCCAATTTTGATCTTCACTAGATTGGATACATACATCTATATGGTAATTAATTAGTGGGTTCTGTGGGTTACTGACTTAGCTTTTCACCTGGGTTCAACTCTGTCAAGTTAAAGTAAGCTTGATGATTTTTTTTTTTTGTTCCTTTATATGTCACAGAACCAGTAGTGCATTCAGTGCAATTATAATTTGTAATGCAAAGAAGCCCTTCAGTTGTGGGCAGCTGGTATGTTTGGAATACTAAGTCCATAGATGATGATGATAATACAGCCATAAAGTATCGTGGGTAAGGGCACCAGCAGACAGGCAGAGAGAACAGGCTCCTGGGATCATGAAGCAAGTATCTGATGGTTTCTCTGGAGAATTAGGATGTTTATTTTCATTTTAATAGGCATAGCTAATTTGTAGACTGAAACTTAACCCTTTTTTTGTTGTGCAGTCTGTTTATTCAGAAATAAATTCCAGGAATTACCACTGCAGGAGGGAAAGTGGGTGTTGAGGCCCTAAGAAAAGTGAAGAGTACTGGTGTTTGTGTCAGCTTTCCTACTAAAAAATCCTTCAAAGTTTATATCCCAGTGAAAAGTGGGATACTCCTCCATGTTACTTGATTTTGCACTGCCATCAGCCTGTCTTTGTGCTGGCATAGCCTGTGCCTACTGAAGACAGGCTAACTGTGACTGTGTTAGAAGACGTTTCCATAACATAGTCAAGGCTCTTGTGCATGTGGCTTGGGCTAAGCACAGAGTTGATATGTAGTTAGGCTGACATCGCAGAGATGTTATGCTGGCATATAATTATAACAGTGTTGTAGCTGGAAATGACAGTTCGTACTGTTTATTGGGACTGTTATAATTATGGGGTCTGCTATAAATCTTCATTCAAAAACCTGATACTGTAAACAAAGCCCTTTAATTAAAAAGAAAAAAAAAAAAAAAACGAAACCAAACCCAACCTCCTCCAGCCCACATACAAAAGGAAGGAACAGCTCAAACTGAAGAGAGAAGCCAAAGTAATTTCTGTGTACTGTACAATAGTGACGGAGAGCAGACAAAGAGCATACACCGAGGAGCCATGGAAAAGAAGCATCATAAAAGGACTGGTGACAGATACTGCTATTAGGAGCGCGCTCACCCACATGAATGTGATGATGCATATGTTGGCACCAGTGAGCAGGAGGGAAGTTCAGAATGATTGCACAAGGCGTTTGCTAAAGGACCAGGCTTGGCAGGCCTGGGCCAGCGGAACTTCAGTTTCATTCTGAAGCAGTTCTTGCTTTTTCTCTCACGATGCAGATACAGAGTATAAACAGCAGTCGGCTAGAATAAGCAGTCAGCTTCTGCTTCTGCGGCAGGAAATGAAGACATCTAAGAAATCCCCTTTGTCCCAGACAGATGCGTGTGTGCATGTGTTTACTGTCCCTCCATTTAAAAGACTACTTCAAATCTGATTTGTTCCAGAACTAACTTGCTTATCCTTTCAGAGTTGGTGCACACCTTTCCACAGCAGGGTGATTGCTGGGGAAAGGTTTGATTACATTTGAACATGAGTGCAGACTTGCCCTAGACTGCACATGGGTGACTAATCCTTGATGAGCTCAGTGTTCTCTGAAGGGAGAGCCCATGTTTGAACAATTCTAGTTTTGCCCACAATTGCATTAGAAGTCCTCTACTCTTCCACCTTCCCCACCACGCTGATTGCTTGGGGATGCATATCCCTTTGGCTTGTGCAGTCTGTTTTTTGCAGCCCCAATACTTGTTCAAGTTCATTCTAATTTTAAATCGGATACTTAAAAAAAAAAAATCTCTTGAGCCTGCTTCTCCTCACACCAGCCTTTCCCACTGGATATGAAGAATGACTGCACTTGTATAGGTGTACACATGCCAGCCAGGGAACCTGGTTGTCCACTGCCATAACGTGTTGCCTGTCATCATCATCCAGAAAATCAAGGATTGCTTCATCACCAGTGTAAGAGCAGTACAAGGCTCTATGTCAAGCCTATGTCATTCCACATCTGCATGGATATGAGTTGGATCAGAAGCTGATGATGTGTAAAACTTAATGAGAAGAGGTGAAATATGGTGCGTGTCTATTCTGAATTGGTTCTTTTCAATGCAGAGGTCTTCATGGCTGTGCTGACCCTCCTATAACCATACAGTTATGATAGTAGACTTACCAGTACACATATGCTAGGGTGATG